TAAACCACTATGAGGCTTCAAACAGAGCCCACAACCCAGTGAGTGGCATTGTGGAGGCTATGCCCATCTTTTATATACAGGGTATGTTCCTATTGCCAGTTCAAATAATTTACAAATGGCTGTAAGAGGTAGCAGTTTTTCTGTGTCTTGGCTATGTGTTAAAACTGTGCTGGGGTCAGGATGTGGTTGGCCTACATAATATATCTTATCGTAAACAGCTTGGCTGAAAACATGAAGCTTCCCACAGCTTTGACGGTGTATCTAATTCTTTAACTTTCACATGAACTGATGAATAGGGCTGTAGGATTTTTTTGATGACCATGCAGCCAAATGTTGCTGGTAAGCACAGGTTTAGTCTTTGCAAAACACTGAATGACACCCCGACTGCACACACTGACAACGAGAGAATCTTGTTCATGGAATACATATGATACCCCCTTTTTTTATTTCTAAAAGCACAAACATGAAACTCTCAGCTTTACACATTTGCAAGTAAAAAAAGAAAAGTGTGTGTAAATATCTAAACGTCTTCATGTGCCTCTGTGTTTCAGGGATATTCTGTGGAAGTGTGCTGCCCGGCCCAGTTCTTCTAAATAATTCCCACAATGCCACACTTCTCTTTTCCTCTGATATTAGCAGAGCAGGAAGTGGCTTTGTAATTAGGCACCATGCGGTCAAAGGACACTCTCATCCTGGTGGGAAATACAACACACACTGCAAACATACACGAGCGCATTATGCAATCCAGATTCTACACTATACAGCTGGCAGAGTGATGCACGCGCTGCGTACTCAGCTTGTACACAATTTTAGCTTCTGCTGTGTCTGTGGGTTGTGGTTCTTGTAACAAACAGCAAATTATGCAGGTGGATGCTGCTTGAGACAACAACAGGCTAACTGAGGACTCTAAAAAATACACACACGCTCTAGCTTTAAAAACAGCGGCTAATGATGTGCATGTGTGCAGATGAGTGTTTTTAAATGTTTTAAACTGAACTGTCTAATGTAAGCTAATGTTTATGTGTGTGTGTGTGTGCACACTCAGGATGTGGAACACTTGTTCTGGTTGAAGATAAGGCTTCTATACACAGTCCAAATCACCCACAAGCCTACAGTAATGACTGTGTCCTCCACTGGGTAATCCATGCTCCTCTGGGTCATGTGGTTAAGGTGAGCTGCACAACTTACCTACCTGGTATTCTCCTTAAGGTATTATTAGGACATGTGTGATTAAAAGCTGGTTGATTTCTATATTTTCAGCTGGAGTTTACTGATTTTGACCTGGAGGAGTCGGAGAGATGCTTGTATGATTCCCTCACTGTCCTGGGAGATGTTGAAGGAACAGAGGAGATTGGTAGGATGGATACATCAAATCAGAATTCATCTTTTTATACCTGGATCACTCAATATCTTGTTGCATTCCTTTGTTTAGCCTTGCTGTGTGGCGGCAGCATCCCTCCTCCTGTCCTTTCCTACCACAGCACCATGGTGCTTCGGTTTACGTCGGACAGCAGCATCACTCATAGGGGTTTCAGGGCTACACTGACATTCATCAGCATTACAGGTACCCCACTGCACGTGTGTTTCCCACCACTGAGTAACTACTAACATACCAAAAG